TATCAAACAGTCTAAGAATAAGTTTGATTGCAAGGACAGAGTGATACGTACATGACGGGCAGCTGGGAAATAATGCAAAACTGTAACTCAATTCCTAACTCCCATGTCTTCCAAATACTTTTGGCTGTAAGTAGCTCTTGCCACCTGGGATTTTATACTACTAGGAATTTCTATGAGTATTTCATGAAATATTATTTTTGGTAATCTAATTCAAATCAATGTGACTCAATGTGACTGGATTCTCAGGGTAAGTCAGCAATACTGTTACACCCCAAATACAGTGGTCCTGGCTTTCAGTATCACATTGTTGCCCAAGCCTATGCTCAGCTTTCCTTTCCAAATGTCAGTTATACCATAAGCACAAAGGGATGTTCAGCATAAAGAATGCATGGAATAGAAAGCCTAGAAAAAGAAAAAAAAATCACTCATAATCTCAGAAGCCCAGGAAATGAATAACTTTCAATGATCTTTCCCCTAATTTACTCTCACACAGTTTTGACAAAGTGCATATATAACCCACATTCTGCTTTTCTGTGTTAAAACATAAATATTTTACATTTTACATAGATATTTGAGTGGCAGATATTCCACTTCCGGGAAGTAACTATTACTCTAATGATGGTCTTCGGGTTTTTTTTGTTTTTATCACAATAAAAAAGCAAAAACTGTAGACATATTTGGCATATTCTCTTATAAATTATTTAAAGTATGTCTATTCAAATAGGATTACTGAGTCAAAGGGTCTGAACAAATTTAAAGCTCTCAACTTTTATTGTCAAATTACTTCCCCAAATAATTCTAAAAAACTCTGTATTCACACCAGCAAAACACAAGAGTTTCTATTTCACTATATTTTTTTAACTTTTAAAATATGAGTTTCCACTTAACTGTTTTTTTCTACTTAACTATGTTTTTTAACACTTTATTATATTTTTAAAATATTAAATAAATCTATAAGTCTTCAGATGAAAAATTAAAATTAGTCTTCAGATGAAAAATTGAATAAAAATTCAATTAGAATTATATTACAAAAGATTTTAAGATGTCTTCCAAGATCATCCGTAGGCTCGCAAATTTTAAAATCTTTTAACCAATTATTCAGTGAAAGGTAAACACTCTGAAAACTACCAAGTATAACAATAAGTCCATAAATTAGAGGTAAGCACAAAAACTGTGTCTGATACATGTTACATACTCACAGTGGTAAATGGCATTGAGAGGAATAGTCCAATCACATAGTCAAGACCACTAATTAGACATTTGAAAATGAAGATTGCAATACGCTGAGATTCTTCATTCTGTCCTCCATGTGTCTTGACATCTTTTACAGTCATTCTTTTTATCTTTCTTCTCTGTGTTATGGGAAGTTTTATGAGATAAATATTCCAGTTTACTAAATTTTTCTTAAGCTTTATCTGTAGCTATTTGGATCTCACTTTAAATCTTCTATTAAGTTTTAAATTTTAATAGTCATACTTAAATTTCTTTTAAATTTTTAAAGACATTGTACTTGATTTTTTTTCCAGAGGTGTCTATTCTTTTAATAATATTCTACTCTTTCATTGTGTTTATATTCCCTTTAAAGTATAGTGCTTTTACTTTGGCTTACTATGTAGTCTGATTCAGACTGCACATTAGTAAAATGCTAATTCATTAATTATGCTGCCAACTCATTCTGAGGGAGGACAGTTCTCTTGGGCGACTGGAACTTTGTACTGTAAGCTCATTTTCTTTCTGGAGTGGGCTATTTTCATCACAGACCAATATACTAAGGTACATAGAGGACCTTACAAAATAGTTTGTTCTTTGCTTTTTGTCAGTGTCCCGTAAGTCTGACCAGTTATGTTAAGTACACTTTTGTTTTTCATTCTCTGCACTGTATCAGAGGCCATACCATGGTGGGGTGTAGAGTTATGGTTTCACTATAGGTTTTATTTAAGTAAAAACTTCATTTTCTGTTTCCCAAGCATGGATATTCCTGTGGCTTCCTCAAGCTGGTGGGCAAAACCTGTCCTAGTTGATCTTGTTAGTGGTGTAGCCCTTTTCGAGGGACAGCTTTATTCAGCGTCCTCACTTCCCAGTCTCAGTGCTGGATTTCGCACAGCCTCTGTATCCAGCAGCAAAGTCCCACTTCCTGTCTGGGACACATTTCCTGTCCTGGTTCTGCTGGTGGCCGGCACAGTCCCTCCCTCGCTGAGTTGTATCTGCACCTCTGACACTTAAGGGCCTCCCTCCTCCCTCCCTGCCTTCGTGTGTGTGTGTGTGTGTGTGTGTGTGTGTGTGCGCTCGCATGTGTACATGTGCATACACAGATGCACGTTTTTAAATTGTTGTATTTTTCCCACATACCTTGACCAAAGGTTTTTGTATTAAGATAAGTGGCTAAGGAAGGAATGTATCTGAATTTGGTTGTTAATAAAATAATAAACATTAACAATAATATTTTCTATGGACTTCATACTGTATTGCTCTTCAGTATCGACTTAACTTTTTAAAAAATACTGTACTACAACATCTAGGTGACTCTGAATCCTGTTTACATCCATAGTGAACTTGAGCTTCTCTTTTCATAGCAGTATACGTACATTATCAAAATTATTTGTATGCGAACTTGATTAGATTCAGAGATGATATTTCACATTCGGTGCATGGTAATAGGTAAACTTTACTTCGAGATAATACTATAATATTGCTGAAGAGCTATTTATTAATACATTCAAGACACATATTCTTTCAAAATAAATAAACACTAAATGACTCAAATCACAACTTTTTGGCTGGCTTTCTTCTCTCATTCTTTTTCTTAACACAGACCTGGTATTACTTGTAAGCTTTTCAGTTTCATCTTTAGAAAGCCTTTTGTTTTCTAAAATAAGAGCCAAAATAACATTATTTCTTTGCCAGACTTTGGCAGCAGTACTCTGCCAGAAACACCATGCTTGCTGGTAAACAGAAAGTATAGTTTTCACTGTAAAATACTATAATTACACAGCACAGCACACCTCCATGGTTCTCACCACAGAGGCGATCAATAGTAGTATAGACTATGACCCTCTGTTGGACTCTAGTAGATATAACAGGGTAGATGAAAGAGTTTATTAACTTAGCAGGTAGCAAATCAGAGCAGCAGAAATAATAAGCCCTTGACGGAAAATTTTTAATCCACACACAAATTTTTTTCAGTCTAATAGAAGACTTAATAGAAAACAAAGTAAAACAAACAAACAAACATTCCCGCTCATAGTCTGGCTCTTCTTCCCCATTTATACACACACTCCAGGCCAGCACCCCTGGCAAACATCCATTAAGAAACATTCTACTGTATTGTGTTGTAAGAAATTAGCCAGGTATTATGGAATTCTACAGAATGCAAGTCTCAGATTGAATAGTTCAGGCTTGTATTTGACAAATGCCATAATTTAGAAAGTGTAAGTTTGTACAATCAAGGAAAGATCTGAAGTTCCAACCTGTGGCATTGTTTTCCTTATTAAACAGAGTGTTCTCAGAATTTTAAAATATGCACAGTAGGAAAAGTGGGTATTAAATCATCCAAGGTTGAACTATTATACCAAGAGTGGGAGACAGCAAAAAAGAGAGAACTCAAACACTGCAACTTTTCAATCACACGAATCAGTATGTTCCTCAGAAAAGGAAAAATTCTAAATGAGAGAGTGGTAAAAAAAAATTGACTTGTGACTTGTACATTGTTATTTTAGTCCTCAATTCAAACTCTTGCCTAGGGGAACAATCCCTGTATGTGTGGATAAATGGTTAGCAAAACAGCTGTGCTCTTTTCATTCTTGGACTTCTCGTACCAGCTTAGTAAAATGCACCGCAGCCGTCTATGCATAATCAGAAGTGCATGCTGCCGTCAGCAGCAGCCTGCTTTCAAAGAATGCTGTACATGGGAAACATACAAACAGGAAACCTAAGGGACAGTTACGCACTGTGAACAACACCATCACTTATCTGCATTTTAAGTAAGATTTCTTTTTAAAGGTCCTTGTGTGTATAGACTCCGGTAAACAAAATTTTGTATATGTGAAAACAAAATAATTTTTCTTAAATAACAAATACAAATATCTCAACACAAATACACTTGGTTGCTTGTATTTTGCAAGTGCTTTGTAATGTATCATGAACACTGTTAACATTTGGCCACCATAAGACCAGACCCGAATGTAATTCACTGCTTGCTCCTTCTACCTGCACAGGTGTGATTTGGGGACAATTCTTATCACCTTAATTCATGGTCATAAGAGACGGAAAACTGTGAACATAGAAGAGATCACCAAGAAAAAAGTTTGTAACTGACAAACTTTCCAAGTATAAAAATCAAACCACATTCTCACTAGGAAAAAAAAATAAGTAAACAAAAACACAAAAAACAGAGACTACTTAAGCTTACAGCATGAGCTGCATACCTGAGTTAATCTCTTGCACTCGTTTTAACACTTAGATTTGAGTAAGTTAACGAAATCATATCCACACACTGACTAGTAACAAAAGCCCCCTACTCTCAAAAGGCTATGAAGACGTTCTTAAGAAATCATTACCATAACAGTACGTCTGCCTGCAGAAGCATGTGCCATCCTTGTATGCTTCACAACATTGGTTTGGTGCCAGCCGTGAATTAAGAAATAAACAGCTCACTTTTTGGAAGCTCGCATTTGGACTCCACGAGGAGTTTAAGGTACCCTTTGCTAGATGCTAATAAAACTGAGTAATAATTCTGCGTTCTGGAGAGAAGGGTTCACTCACTGCTTGCTCATGGGAAAGCCAGACTGCCTGTCATTTGTTAGCTGGATACAGATATTAATCATTCTGTGTCCTGGGTGATTATTTTTATCCAGTTTTGAGAGAAAGCTAGGATATTGCTACGTTATCATTTTGCTTTTTTAATTGCTTAAAGACTTCTCAATTTCTTATACTTCCTTCAAAGACACCCTCATGGCTCACTGTGAGGCCCCGTCACATCTGTGGCTGCTCAGATCACTTACTCTGCATGCAGAGCCCATCCGTGCAGTTCTTGGATTGCAGGACCAGCCCGTCGCAGTCCTTGCCCCCGTTCTTGGGCGCTGGCGCTGTGCACTCCCGGCGGCGCCAGTGAGTACACTCAGTCCCACAGGTGGACCACTTGCTCCATGAGGCCCACCGGCCATCCACTGCCACGAGAAAAGCCAGAGAAGTCAGGTCACGGGGTGAAGGGTGCAGAGTTCACTTCAAGGCGACAAAGTGAACCACGGAAGAAAGCGCCTCACCCAGCAGCCTCAAGGTCATTCCCACCCCTGGGAAGTGGGTGGCACCTGTTCCTCACTTCCCAGCAAGAGAAGACGCTGGGGCACAGGGAAGCAAAGTTATACCCAGGACCTGTGCACAATCAGCTCATGGTGGTCCCCTTTTTTCTTTTCAAGGAGAAACTGCTGCATTTTGTACTGAGAAAAGAAGGGTCTCTTTATGTACCTAAGATTCCTTTGTTCATACTTTCCTGTGGACCATGAAGTCCATTTGTGTAGAAGTCTGGAGAAAAGGCTGGCGCTGTGGGGCAGAAGTCCACCCGGCCTTTCGCTCCTTCCTCTTGTTCTTACACTGTGCTCTCTCATCTCATATCCCTTCCATCTATGTCTTATATACTCTTTTTTATATTACTACCTGCTTGCGGTAAATAAGCTCTACACTCATCTTAGGGCCTACGTACGTGCAGTTTATACATCTTAATTTTCAGAAAAATGTTCCTTCTCCTCCCCTCTTCTCCTTTCCCAGTCATCTCTAGATCCACCTCTCATTTGCAAAAGATCTATCTCCGTTTCCTATTGTCTATTCTTCATTTCATTTTGTAAATTAGTATTTATACTTTGAGTTTCTCATGTAAGAGGAGTTATATCATATTTAAGTTTGTGTGTCCTTTTAAGTTTCTTTTATCATACAGTCTCCTTGATTCTGCTGAAATCTGTGATGTCTTTTGTTGTTGTTGTTTTGGTTGTTTTTGTACCTGAGATCGAACTTGGGTCTTTGTGCTTATGAAGCAGGTGCTGGAACCACTGAGCTGAATCTCCGGCCCTGCAATGTCTTCTTAAACTGACTATATTATCTTCCACTTATTTTTTGATGACTCCATCCTACTTGTGATGATATATCCATTTATGTTTACTAAAAGTAATATTTTAACTAAGTTCTTAACTTTTCTAGCCATTTGTTGAGAATTGAGTTACTTTATTTTTGTAGTTGACTTGTACTTTCAATGCTAATGAGCTGAAATATCTACATTTAAAAAATACAACTTAAATCCCAATTGAAAAACAAATACAGTAAGTTTCACCACCATACTTTAACATGTATCTTTTTAAAGTTTCTCATAGAAACAGGATAGCAATGGTGAACTAGCTTTTAAAAATGTTTCTTTCCCTGAAGCACATGTATTATGATTATCTATATTCCATGCAAAATAATGCTAAACATCATATATTTAATATACATCTAAAACACACAAACTGATAAAAGTGACATAAATTGTAGTAGTTTATGTAATTGGAAAATCTACATGTTTTTATAACCTAGCTACTGTGTGAATATATCAGACATAAGGTGTATGAAGATATAAACATGTGCATATGAAAAGTTGAGGAAAGCATTAATATTTCCATCCCACAAAGCTCGCTATACAAACACCTTCCAAGTATCTGGAGCAAAGATATTTGCTTTGCCCTACATACTGAGCTGGCATCTTTGCTTATACCCTAAGTATACTGAAACACACATATGCACACAACACACACATGCTTATCTTTCAATTCAAAGTGATCAATGCATTTTTAACTGTGAGAGGACAAAAATCTCAAATCCTAAGCCTAAGTGTCAAAATTGGTTCCATGAATAGACTCCGCAAGAGTTCAGTGTGAGACTCTCTTGATTACTTGGATATCACTCTTGGGAATGCAACGTGCAGATTACATTTTTCTATCCATTTCAACGAATTTCTTACAAAGGCTGTATGAAAGGATGAAGAGGACACAATTTGGCAAAGTAAAGGGAAGTTTGAAATCTGTATATCTAAACAATTACATAGATAACAAAATACTCAATGAGCACACTACATGTATGGGTGGTTGCAAAATAATTTTAACTTAACCTTGGGACATTTACATGACGACACAGTTTAATAGGTTTCTGCAAATACTAATTTCAGTTTACCTAGGAATGGGAGTGGGCAGCAATGTGAAATCGTACAGAAAGATGCCCAGGGTAGAGGAATGCGATCTCACCATGGAGACTACTGTGTGACTCACAGAGTAGATGGCCACTGCGCACAGATCATGAGAGTCGACTGCACTGTATTTTCAAAAGCCGTTATCCCATGTGTCACAATGCTTTGCCTTCCTTTTAATTCATTCCAAATGTTCTATTTGCCCCAGCCCAGAAACTGAGGCCATGTGTCAAATATTGTGGTATAAAACATTTTCTAAATTTCATTTCCAATTAATTGCCATGGTTTTCTGACTATCAAATGTTATTCATAAATATGTAGTTTTCTATGCTGATCAAAGAATCTGCGATCTTGGCTTTTGTGGGTCCACTGAATACTGTAGAGGGATTATGATCCTGAGTGTGTAGCTGCTGTTTTATATTATTTTGCACGTTTGGGTAACAGAGCTAAGTATCCTTTTAGAGGAATTACTTGATTTCCCAGCAATGTAAACACTGAACGCAGAGGGGATTTAAATACTGTTTAGCACACCTATAAGTCAAAGTTAAGATCTTTGATTTATTTCTGAAACCTACTTCTAGTGTGGTGAAAAACACGTGGAGTACAGGGCCTGGTTTACTTACCTGGGCACAGCGTAGTACAGGCTATTTTCTGTACACTTTGCCCTTCGCAGAAGGCACCGCCATTGAGTGGAGCTGGGTTGGTACAAGTCCTCGTGCGCTTCTGGTACCCTCGTCCACAGCGGCTGTTACACACGGACCACTCTGTCCAGGTGGACCAGCCACCATTGACTGAAACAGGGTGAGCCACACAGAGTGGATTAGATATCTCTTCATGTACACCCAAACACGCAAACCACACACAACACACAAACAGTCATCTCCCAACAGCCACTGCAAAGCCGAAAATGTCAAAGCTGCAAGAGACCATGGGCATCGTTTCAAAGTTCCATTATATAGCTGAAGAATCTAAACATGGAGATAGATGAATTATGGACGAAGATTTATTCACACAAAACAATAAGTAAGACTGCATTCTCTTTTTGTTGGCTAATGTTCTTTAAAAATAAATATCCCTTTACCTAGTCAAGCTCTAAAAATTGCTTTGACAGCTTATCTCAAATAATAAATGTTCACATCCTTAAGCCAAGGCTGCCAGCCAATCCGCAGCATGAGAACTAACTAAAAATCACTTAGCCTTCTTAAAAATGATGGTTGATTATTTTTCTGTAACACATGCAAGGTTTATTGCCTTTTAAGGACTCTCAGTCAGTTTCATAAACTAATGATTGAACCTAGCTACAAAAGAAAGTCTTACAGTGTTGAAGTTTTAAACAAATCGACTAGTAATCTGACATAGCAATTAATTGAGAATGTTGAAATGGACAGTTATTTTGTGTGGAAAATCTAACTATGATATTTGATGGGGCTGTCAATACATGTGATTAAAAAAAAAAACCCAAAAAACAAAACAAACCCTATACCTTAACACTACTGACACTATACATCCCCAGAAAGCTCCCTCTACAAAATGCCCTGATGTAATTCAATAACGTAAGTGTGCAATTTGTGCAATGAAGTGATTTCTAGCAGAAGTTACTTGCTAGTAGTGAAAAGATGGTACAACTAGTAAAAGCATGTGCCTCCCAGCAGTAAGCAAAGTTCTTAGCCACTGAAGTAGCACAGACCTCTAATGTCATCCTACTCCCTAGAAAGCTATCCACTAAGGAGTATATTCATGTAGAGAAAGATACTTTCCACTTCAGGATTTTAAAAATAGAGATAAGTAGTTAAAAACATCTGTAGTATTCAAAGACAGAAAACTATGTAAGTTTATGTGAAGCAAAGCAGCCACTGAAAGGATCCTATAGACTGCCATTTAGTAATGCTTATGTATTCTCCTGTTATATTTTAAGTAGAAATATATCTTATCTTTAAATCTTATTGTGCATAGAAATGATCACTGGTACAAATATTAATTCTTTTAAAAATATTATCTTTAAGTTATAAGATTGTAATATTTGTAGGTATTTTCTTGTTAGGCCTTTTTCTGTGCTTCTAAATTTTCTCTAGTGGATGCATATTTGTAATCTAAAATGATACTAACAAAGAATATATGTAAACCATGAAGAATATATGTAAAGCATAAGAATATATGTAAAATAAGACATGCTGGCTAGATGTGTGCTTTCCTATGGAATCTGGGTAAGACCAGCCTATGAGCCATGGACAACTTATTTTACTCAGTCATAAAAAGCACAAGCAGATGGTTGACGCAGAGGGTTTCAGTTAATGTTTTAAAAAGCAACTTAGTCTATTCGACTTTATAAAATTCAAAATGTCACAGAATTGTCAGTATGGACTTCTTGCTAGTGTACTGTTGAGTCGATATTTTGGGGTTATAGAATCAAAGCACTGCTCTGCTAAAACTTTAACAAAAAGTAAATAACCAGAAACTTTTAGAGACACAAACATATTTGCAGATCCTAGGCTCATCTCTTTGCTCAACAGAAAAGATGACAAGGGCTCAGAGGACCTCGGCTTTGAAAGGTCAGTGAGTGGAACAAGTCTAGTCCGAGAGCACAAGATTGCTGACTCTTAGTCCTCAGCCTTAGCTCTGAATGCTTCTGCTACTTGCATTTAATCTTTCCCGAAGACAATGTATCACTGCATTTGTGGATACTGAAAGCACGCTATACTTAGGAAAGGATTTGCATGTATATTAAATATCTATATAATACATCTATATATAGTCTGCCTGCATTAGTTATTTATGATTGGTTACACTATGATTAGGCCCATTTCTACTTTGCATTTCAAATACCATTAATCAAGTCTTCCAGGCAGTTCAGATAAAGATAAAAAGTAGGAAACATTTTATTGTGATTGAAGACGCACAGTTGCTTACAATTCAACATAGCCATTATCTGGGCTAGGAAATTAAATCGCATAGTAATCATGGGATTAAAAAGAATGTATGCATCTGTCCTGTAATTAAAATGGCAATTTTAAAACTTCACTGTATTCAGGCTCAGAACATCATAATAGTTTCTGTTCTCATAAGTCCATAAGCACACATTCACTGGGATATTACTGCAAGAAAGGGAAAATTTTAATCTGTACATTTCCAGAGTTCTGTCAGCTTGACCTGAAAATTAAACTAGCATAAAAGAGATGTGCATGAGAAAAGCATTTAAATTTATTTAATATACGTTTTACATGGCATAGGAATCTTCGTAAAGAAATGATGATCTAAAGATGGCTGGAATTGAGCACTTTCATGCTGAATTGGACCAAAAGTATAAGTTTTGAGAATGTAACTAAATTATGTGATAAGGCTGAAAGATTAAGAGTTATTTTAATAAGTTATGCTCAGCATTCTTTTCATCTCAACTTCCAATCCTTAACAATAAGAATGTTATTTTCCTTCTAGTATATGAGAGGCATCTTTCACATGAGAATCTCAGTTTTTTGCTTTTAACAAAAAGAAGAAAGGCCAGAGTGGTCTTGCACATGCACATGCTGTTTTTAAAGTGGTTTAACTTCCCCCTCCAAAAAAAAGTCAGTAATCCAGAACAGCATGTTTTGGGGTTCCATGATTCTGAACTTCTTCTGGTACCCACATTGAGTTCTGCAGCCAGACAGTCATGGCTCCTGTCCCTCCTGCATAGCCCATCAAAGCCCAAGGCCTGTGAGTACAAGCAGGACTGCCAGGCCCCGTCATGCCCTTTGGCGATGGGAGGCCTGGACCCACCATTTTGCAGGGGGCACCACCTCACACCCTTCTAGGGTTGGTGTCATTTTCTGTGACTATCAGTCATCAACTCTGTGAGGACCCTTACGCTTCTAATATGGTGGTAAGTGTATAAATACATGGTCTGGCGTCTCAGTCTAGAAAAGGCTGTAAAGTTAGGCAAGGAGGGGGAACCATGTGTAAAATGACTAGACATTGACTGCTGACCTGCACAGGGAGAAAGAAGCACACAGGCCTCCCCACATACAACCGGCTGGCATTTGAGCAGCAGTCACAGATAGATGAGGAGGGAGAGCGGGGAGGAGCTTCCTGGAGAAGCTCTCACATAGGGCTTTGCCACATTGTGAAGCCGAGAGTGACGGGACCGTAGACACCCTTCCAACCGCTCTGGCTGCCTCAGACAAAGCCTATTCTACTGAGGTTAAATTGCCCAGATGTGTTCGGGAACAGGTGAGCTCCAGATTTCCAAAGGTCTCCTCACCATGGGGCCAAACTCTGTCCACAGAAACATCAGCAGGCTGCCTTGAGCACCTGCGCCTCTACGGCGTGCAACCTGGACCTCGGCGGTGCAGAGCAGAGGCGAGGGCTTGGGAAGCAGCAGGCCCTTGGTGGCCACCTCCACTTTCCTAGAAGCTGAGGGTCAGGGGCAGCGGTTTCTAAGCCCAGTCTTCCTTGGGTGGGTTGGGGATGCAATTAACCCATTTACGCCAGGCATTCCATTTGTGGAACATGACAAACAATGGAACATAAATTTTTTTTTTTCTCTTCAAATTCCCGTTTCCGGAATTTTTGTAGGCAACATATATGAATTTCATATAAAAAATTGTGACCTTCAGCATACATGGCCTCACTGACTCTAGGGGGCACTGGAAGGAGCAGCAGCGGTGCTTTGAAAAGCAGCCTCTCACTTGAAATTCTAATAAATCAACATTAAAATTGATTCCAAGAAGAAACTGCAGTGTGAGGTGAAACGGATTAAGCCCCCGAGCTCACTCACCGTAGACTATGACAGTGGCGGTCGTGCTTCTTCTCTTAGCAACAATGTTCTTGGCGACACAGGTGTAATTTGCAGTGTCTGAGAGGCGGGCTTGCTTTATGATGAGGTTGTGGTCGATAGTAATATAAAAATTCCGATCTTCAACGGGATCGATTATGTCTTCATTTTTCAGCCATTCTACCTAAAGAGGCAGGAGAAACCCAAGTGAATTCCCGATGAGCCTCCCTCCACAGCTTCTTGTCTGTCTTGTGCTATGGAATCTGTACGACATTATCCTCGCTCTGAACTTCTGCGGAACAGGGGAGGTGACTTTCCGAGGTCACGAGAAGTACCACTCACCTGCCAAACGTGCCGATCCTGTCTGCACGACATTATTCTCAAATGTCAACGAACCAGTTGGGAAAAACAGTGTTGAAATTGTTTTCATTTTGCCCAGCGGGCAGGAACAGGGACTGTGCACCGCCAAGCGCAGAATCCAGTAAAAAATAACGGGCCAACATTTCAAACTGAACTCAAATCTTCTGCTATTTGATTTGTTTACTCTTGGCAACTTACCTGCTGCTTTTCAGAATAGGATATAAGTACTATAAGAAAGCTCCACAAAGGTATTTTAGACATTGTGGAGCTCAAATTAAAAAAATACAACATTTGGATGATTATAATTTACATGTTGCTCACTGAAACATATGGATTAAATTTTCCTGAAAATGCACAGGCTTTAAAATGCAGCAAATCACATCTCTGGAGAGGCATCTAAGCCAAAATATTTGGGAAAAAAAGGTTTTCTATCAACCCTCAGTATATCCAAATACCATGTAAATCAAACTCCAATCTCCCTCAATATACAAATATTCTCCCCCACCATCTTCAAATCTTGGCCTCATGCTTGCTTTGGAGAACATGATCTAGGACAGACTATTTCTCAAAGCTGATGAACTATTGTTTTTTATGTTAATGATATCAATTTAGCATTAATGATTTATTTCTGGCTAAATAAAGGAGGGAAATATACTTGTACAAGCTGTCCTTCTGGACAGTAAACTATATTTTTTTTATCCAGACAAAGCTTTTCTTTTGTTCTTCCTATGTAGTTTTTTTTCCTATGTACTTTTTTTTCCCATAAAGCAAAACAACATTGATATTTACCACGCTTAAGCTTTCCTTTTGCATTAGAGTGGCTATGGATACAAGTAACCTTTAGTGGTAGGGAGTCAATATTGTTGCCATTTTCAAAATCTTAAAGAGCTTCTCCAGCACTGCAAGAGTCTAGAAATTAATCTCTAAATCTGTCAGTGGGGTTGACATAGCACAGCTCTAAATTTTGACTAATGCAGGGACTCTCAAATAATGCTCCTCTAATCCTTCAAAGACAGCCCAATGTGTAAAGGGAAAAACAAAAAGCAACCACAATCCGAAAATACAGACACGGATGGGGAGGTGGATTAAAGCAACTGTAATGATGTAAATTTCAAAATAAACATTCTTGATATTTGCACTCATGGCACTGAGAAAGAGAATGGATTTTTGAAAAATGCACTTTATTTTCAAATAGGAACTACACGTTCCTCTGACCTGGATTTTCTCAAAGTCTGGCCCTGAAGGTGACTATAACCTTCCTGTCTGCTGCCTGCCTTGCAAGCACAAGGACCCGAGTTTGATCCCTGGTATTGAAAAAGAAAACAACAACAACAAAAAAACCCCCCAAAACAAAAACCTTCCTGGAAGGAAGTAAGAGGTATATTGTCAGAAATCACCTTGACCATAACTGAAAGTTGAGATTTATATTCCCCAATTAAATCTTTTCCTAGGTTATCTATTGGTGCCACCCTCAAGAAAGCTTTCTGCACCTAGAAGGCACCACTAGGGTCCTGTCAGTTAGGGTTCGATTCTTTCTATTTGTTTGTGCTCAGCATGCTTATCTCTCAGTCACTCCTGTTACTCTGAGGCCAACCTTCAGACTCTTGGATCCTCTAGTGCTGGAAATACCTCGCAGTTCACAACACCCTATTAACATCTCTATTTAGCCACTGACCAATGGGTACAGAAATACACTTCTGTCTGCTTGGGTCCGAACCTGGGTTCTTACTCCTCAGAGCTCCCCTCTTGGGGGTGGGGTGAAGCTCTGTCCTTGAGGTTTTACCTACATTTAACTATGACTTGGCTTTTCCTCTCTCTCCTGTTTGCTGTGCCAGCTTTCCAAGCTGTCCCGGGAACACTTCCTTAAGAGACTGCTGCATTGAGGACTCTGCTCATGATTTGCTTCTAAATCATGGCCGCTCAAAATGATGTTTTCTCTGTAAGTGATATTAGTTTAACAACACTGATGTAATCCTTATCATAGTTGACATAAAGACATCTCAAACCACTTGTTTATTTAAAAAGCTTATCACATGGAGGAGAGTTCAGTGTGTGCGCTGGACAAAAGACACAACTGACTGCTATATATCCGATCCTTACATTTTCGTATGCAAAGTCACACTTTACCTGGCCATCTCTCACTAGTGTTGGGGGAACACCTCACCTCCGCCCTGACACTCTTCCCTCTGGGAGCCTGCCCAGCCTCCCATGCTCTGATCCCTGGCTGGGCTGCCCACCTTCGCTACCACATCTTGAAATCTATTCTTATTGCTAGGAAGCCAGCAAAATCCTCCAGATTTCAACCTCTTTCTGGATTATTTACTTCACCTTTTCCTTTATGTAAACCCCGGTGGATTCAGTGGCAGAATGTTTTCCGGAGTCCTCCTCAAGTCGTAGATGATTCATTTACCTGGCCTGGGACTCAGGCCAGGATTCTGAGGGTTAAGTTCTGAGGGTTAACGAAGGGTCAAGTGTTCTTGGTTTTTCTGTCTTCATTTTCGTTAAGCACATGTTTGCAGTACACGGTGACTGCATGCATCACGGGAAGCAGGCACAGGTACAGAATACATCTCAATTCTGTGTACATTCCCTCTCTCTCCCCTCCCACCTCACTCTTCCCATCCCTCCCCACTTGCAAAAATCTCCAGGTGTTCTATTATCTTCTATTTCGTTCTTTATCTTCCACACCGTCTACTCCAGACCATTCTCTCAACACCTTTGCTTTCAGTCCCATTCCATCAGATACCATGGCCTTTCCACATTGTAATTATCTGCAGGCTCACAGTCCAGTTTGATCTCTGATTATTTGAATAACCAGAAGGATGACACTTGCAATATTTCAGTGCTCAGGTGCAGGCCCTCCCAGCTCCCATAGTGGTCTTGGCCCCTGAGGTCATAGTTCTGGGCCGGGGTTTGCAACCCTGGCCTCACTACAGAACAACTTGGAGAACATTAATAGGGATAATTCTGAGTTCAACTGAGAGAACCTAAGTCTGACCCTAAGGAATTGTGATGGCATGGTCTAAAGAGGTCAGTAGTTTTAATCCTGCCAAATGGTTGTCACCTAGTGCTGCATTGTGGTCTTTCAACAAGATCACCATCACCTTGGGAGCTGGACAGAAACGCAGACCGGAAGTGTGCAGCCTCACAGGAACTGCAAATGATTCATGCGCACTCTGAAGTGTGAGAAGCACCGCTTTAACGCTTGTCCTTACCATTAACTGCAACCTCTCCACAAACAGTTTCAAACACCTGCTCCTCTTACTATCATCTGTCTTTCCCGCTAAATTTTCTAGTAGTCCTAGTCCAACGACCCTCATCCACATCGACAGGCCATTTTACTCACCTACTTTACTCCTCACCGGCTGTCACCTCTCTCCTCCTTCCCAGTCAGTGTGAATGATATGAGCAGTCCTCACATTGTACCCCAATGCACCCAACTTGCTCTCCCGGCACCTACTTGGCCAGACTGTGTCTGTCCTGGGCAGGAGACGGGGCTGAATTCAGCCAACTGAATGGGCTCGTCCTAAGTTCATGAAAACAGAACACCAGTGGGTTCTTCATTCTGCCCAGAAGTCACACTCCAGTTTTTTATCACCCATTCACATTCTCCTGGCTGTAAACACTACTCTCCCTCCATCCCCACTGTCAGCTGAGAGATTCCTGTGACTGAGCAAACGAGAGATCTTCAAAGCTCTCAAGCCCCACCAACCCACCCTCTCGTGCACCCTCTCTTTATCCCTAGGGTGGGCTGTCTCCGTGTCCCATGTGCCACTTCTGATCTGTGCTCTGCCTTGTTACCCCTCTCTTCCTCAAGGGCAAGTCCCACAAATTCTGTCTACTAAGTCATGACTCCTGAATTACCTCAATACCGAATTATGTTTCCCTAAAAACACAGGCAGACTAGACTGTTACTCCTCACGATTTAAGATGCGTCCCACCCATTTTTGTCTCTGGTCATCCGGCACTTCCCTGCTTGCCTTATAAGACTCCTTTATTTTTCATTTTCTCATATTCATTCCATTCCCTTCTTTCCTTGTAGATTGGCAGGAAGGGAGGGGTTGAAGGGAGGGCAGGGGAATGGGGAAAAAATAAGAACCAAGATGGATTATGTAAAGGTACAAGTTTCCAACAATAAATGTCATTGTATCATAGACATTAAATGTACCAATAAAATTAATAAGTTAAAAAAACCCAAAGTGTAAGAAATGTTTCTGATTCAATAAAAGTGAACTTAAAAAAAAAAGACTCCTTGGAACTGCTTTTTACAGCCACTCTTTTCAGTCCTCATCCCCTTCACCTAACTGGGATCAATTCTAGCCTGTGCCTGCTTCCACTCCCACCCCACCCCACCCCATGACTCTCTTCTGAGTCACTGATTATCTGTTAATGTGCTGATGGGAGCCTTGTGCTCTCCTGGACACCTCAGCAGCATCTGGCCACCTTGGTTCCTCTCGGCTGGACTCGTTTTCTCTGGATGTGGCGCCGTCCAGGTTCTACCCCATCCCACTTTGTCCCCCAGCACCTCCTTGGGCTAACATATTACTCTGTGGCTTGGTCCTTGGATCTCTGTGCTCTCTTTTCTGTCTTCACTTCCTTGGTGAGCTAATCCAATCTCATGCAGTGTCTCCCTAAATTTATCTGCAGCCCAGATTCCACCCTTGAACTCCTGACTCATATATCTAACCATGTCCTTGTAACCCCACTCAACTGTCTAACAGCAGGCTCCCAAATGGCCTGTGCAAGGCTGCTCCTCATGCAGTCTTAGCAGCTCAGTTCAGGCCAACTCCAGCCCTCCTGTTACTTAGACCAAAACCTCAGACT